CAGAAAACTCCCATCGAAGGTCTGTTCTGAGCTATTTGCATGGGTCGAGCTCCAGTAAATATGAGGCGCGTTAAAATTGCCCATAATCAGGGTATCTGGCCGCGTAGCGAACTTTTAAAGCTCCGGTATCAGGCAAGCGTCGGTCATGTTGTCCCGTCTCGACGGTCGATAAACTGTCGCGACATCAAGGCTAGGCGAGCTCGGAACTTTAATAGCCAGCCAGATTGCCTCGAAAGTACTCGATAAATTAATCGGTTTTGTCTGATACATTTACTCCATTTTTCACATACGTGAGAACTCCTTCCTGACGCACTTCCCTATCTCTGCCAAATATCTGGTAGCCAGACAAGGTCAACTCACGGTCTCCACGTGTTAGGTCAATCAGTTTTCTGTTAAAGAGATTATGTCAGGGGATAGATCGCAGAGGTGGATCTTCAGCTCGTCGAACTTTGATAGAAAACTCTGGAAATTGGTGTAGAATAATTTTAATTTCCGGCGGACGGAAGATGTGGTTACATTTTGGTTATCCCCTTCACTTAATAAGTCGGCTGTGCAGTCATTCGGGCCGGACCTGTCCAAAGGAAGAGGGACGGGCACCGCTTTACTTGGTTGTTGTATATAATTAAGATTTCCAATACCATCTCCAACCCCACACGTGTGAGGAGTGGAGTCATTCAGGGTAGTGTACTCGGCCCGCTTTTATTTTGCCTTTTCGTTAATGATGTACCCGATTTATTTCAGAATGGTAAGCCTTTCATGTATGCCGATGATCTTAAAGTTGCATATCGATATAAGCCGGCAGATCATGACATCGTGCTTGAGCTCCTAAAGAGCGATCTACAGGCTTTCGCCCAGTGGTGCCGCACATGGCGCCTTTCTCTTTCTCGGCAAAAGTGTTCAGTCATGGTGGTTGGCGACGACCGCCAACCTCAACTAAGTATTGAAGGTCACGCCATAAATGTGCCAGGGGTTATAAAGGATTTGGGCGTATCATACTCCAAGAGTCTCAATCTCTCGGAGCACTGTGCCTTGATAGTCTCCAAAGCACGCAGAACGACCGGGTTTATCCTCCGAAATTTTAAAACTAGGGACATCAGAATACGCCTTTTCAACATGTACGTTAGACCTGGTCTGGAATACTTTTCGTTTTTATTTAGCGTCATGCGTGCTACTGAGCGGAAGAAAATAGAATCCGTTCAATACTTTTTTACCAAGAGAATTTTAACCCCAGAACACCGACATTTGTCTTACCAAGAACGTTGCCGGCTTACGGGTCTCGATCCTTTATGGTTCCGTAGATTACAAAAGGAACTATTTTGCTATTTAAACTCTTATATAATCACACATTTAACCCACTCACCTCTTTAAGACATCATATCCACCCACAACGTAACAGCCACCGCGAGGTCTTTTAATTTCTTCCTCTGGCACGTACTGTTTAATACCGTCGGTTCTGTTCTGTAAATGCAATTGCTATTTGGAATAAACTACCCATGAGTGTGAAAACTCTGCAAAATTATCCTTTAATTAAGAGAAATATTACTCGATTTTTGCATTCAGAAAAGCTCCCACAAATTTTGGGTGTTGAATCTACTGATCGACTGTACCGTAGCGATGGCGTTTGTGGTCTCTGAACACTATGGCCGGTCTCACCAGCTGTCCCTCAACGCCTCTACTTTGACTATCCCCAACTTCATGAACGGAATTGACGTCCGATAATCTCCGATACCGTGCAACCCCCTCCCCCCCCCCTTCTTGACGGTCGATATTCAACCACCGCCGGCAGTTTTTTCTCCTGAGCCCTCCAAACCATAAAAACCGCCATCAATTATATTTTTATCCCTTTAGCTCAGGAGTTTTTTCCACTGCTGGTCGGATTTGTGTTTAATCGCTTCCCTTGACAATGCCTGTAAACTGGCATTAAATAAAAATTTTATTTATTTATTTATTTAATTTATTTAATTAAATTGTCCTCCCCCGCTGAGCCTCTTCCTTAGTTCTAGAACTAGCTGATGACGTCTCAGCCGTTCCGCTTGAGAGTAGTCCGTTTTAAAAAACACTCGGGTTGTAGTCTTTAATCCTAAATCGTCTGGAGAGAATGAGACTGGCTTGGTCGCTGTTAGCCAGGAAAACT